ATCTCAACACCAGTCTTACTGCTTTTCTGGGTCAAAAATCTGATGCAATTACTCACAGACCACAAAAAAACCATATTAGGGAAGTAAAAATCCAGATTAATAACAGAATCCAGTCAAGACAGCTCCCAAAATGTGCACACAGGAACTTCAGCCTCAAGTCTCATGGTTTTTGGCTAGTGTTCTCAGTCTTGCCGATATAAGCTTTCTACCCACAGTTGTCTAACAAAGTTCTCAGTCCTGCCACTCCCTCACTCCCCCACCCCTGCCAAGGTCCCATCTCACATCAGGTCTGCAGTTTGGCCACAGACGTTGCTGACATAGGTCTTGGTGCCACAGATGTAGCTGGAGCAAAAAGAGCCACATTCTCTTGCTTCTTGTTCAATGGTGCTAGAAGATCTGTTTGCCTCTGCTGCTGACTTGCTCAACTCAGTGGCAAACCCCTTGTAGATTGTTGAGACTGGCCAATCCCCTTATGGAATGGTAGATAGTCAATCCCTCTGTGGAATGGTAGATTGCCAGTCACCTTATAGGTGTTCTTGCCTATCTACATAGCAAAGTCAAACAAAAGATAGGAAAAGTCATATTGAAAGATAAACTCCACACTGGTGTGCTTCTGTTTATTTCATATTTGAAACCGGAGAGTATGTGGTACCAAAGGTAGAAGGAAGGGCTCTCAACAGTTGAGCACTTAATTTAGAAACAAATGTGGTTAGCTGAGTCTGCATATGTCAGGGGCCAACTGTGTAACTGGAGTTTCTCAGAATTAACTTCCTGCTAATTGAGCCCCACTGTTTCCCAGTTGATTCTGCTCTATTATAGCACTGTCGGACAGAGCAGAACTAACGCACAGCGTTACCAAGGCTGGAAGTCTTCAAGGAAATGGACTGCTGTATCTTTGTTTTACCAAGTGGCTGGTGGGTTCAAACTGTCCACCTTTTGGTTAGCAGCCACTATTCAATATTAATTAAAAGGATAAAGTGGCGAGTTCTGGTGGCCTAGTGGCAAGAAGCTGCACTGCAATCCCAGAGATGTGAGATTCAAATCCACTAGATGCTCTGCTGAAGGAGGAGGGACAATCTCCTCCTGTACCTCGGATCTGATTTGATGGTACACACATTAAAAAAAAAAGTAATAAAAATTTAAAAAAAGGATAAAGAAGAAAATTATCTTAATTAAATGCTACAGCCTTTAGTATGAATTGCATTTCAATATGAAGAAAACAATCTTTGCAACATCATGATAGATGGAGAAAAGATTGAGACTGCCGACGACTTTATATTTCTTGATTCCACAGACTTATTTCACAGGGAAAGTCTGCAGCCAGGGGTCTTCTCTTATCTCTGAGGAACAATGATGTCCGTTTAAGGGCTAAGGTGTGACCTGACTCAGGACATGGGCCTTTTCAGTCACTTTCTATGCATCTGAGAGAAGGAAAATGAATAAGGATGACAGAAGAATTGATGCCTTTGAACTGTGATGTTGGAGCAGAGTGCTGAATATTCCATGGATTTTTTTTTTTAAAAAAACCCAAAAAACAAAAACCACATAGGGATTGTGCAGCCATAGTACTCCTTGGGGGCAAAAATGATAAAGTTTTGTCTCACATACTTTGGGCATGTTGCCAGGAGAAGTTATTCTATTCCTTTGAGAGCGATGTTATGCTTGGAAAGGTAGAAGGATGACAAAGAGGCATTGACACAGTGGCTGTAGCAATGGGCTTGAGTGTATGAGAGATTGTGAGGAAGGCACAGGACAGGGGTTCGGATCCGTTGTTCCTAGGGTGGCTATGATTTGACTTAACAACACCTAACAATAACAAAAACAACAATTTGAACTTGTCTACGTGTCTATGCCCAATAGAAACGTACTCCTTTTAAAAAAATTTTTTTTAATTCTTTTTGTGTGAGTGTACTGTCAAATCAGATCTGACTGGTACAGGAGGAGATTGTCCCTCCTGCCCCGGCAGAGCATCTGGTGGATACGAACCGTGAGCCTCTGGGATTGTAGTTGCAGCTCCTTACCACTAGGCCACCAGAGCTCCCCTAGAAATGTACTCTTATGTTCATAAAAAAAAACACATGTCAAAGATGTGCATAGCTGTACTTGTTGCAATCATCTAAGCCTGAAAACTGCCCAAATGACCATCAGCTGGAGACCAGATGAGAAATCATAGAGGATAGAAGGATACACAGAGCGAGAAACAATTAAAGGCAAAATTATGAGCCCTTTATATCCCACAGCCTAGCAGTTAATGAGTTGCACTGCCAACCCAAAGGCAAGCGGTTCAGATCCACCCGCTGCTCAATGGGGAAAGATGGGCAATCTCCTTCTGTGTGATATACAGCCTCCGAAAACCCCAAGGAAGTCAGCTATGAGTCACTTCCAAACTGACAGCCATAACAATGAATACCATGCACATGATACAGCCCTGCTTGCTGAAAGTTAAGAGGACTTGAAATACATCATAATATCAGAGACTATCAACCTCGATATGGATTACATATCAACATTTTAAAAGCCAAAAATCCTCACGACTGATTCAATAGGCAAAATTATCATAGATGGTGGTGAAAAGGTTCAAGTAAATTATTTAATTTTCCTTGCTGTCAAGGACCTCTTCAAAGTACTAAAGAGCAATTCTGTTTGTTGTTTGTTGTACCATATAGTTGGAAACGACCCATAGCTGGCCTTCCAGCAGGTTTAATTGCATGGGAGGAGAATGCTAATCCTTCTCCTGTAGAACAGCTGATGGATTGGAACCACGTGCCTTCGGTATTGTTATTTGTTGTACCATAGGGTTAGAATGGACCCATTGCTGGCCTTCCAGCAGGTTTTCAGAGGCTTAATTGCATGGGAGGATGAATGCTAATCCTTCTCCCATAAAGCAGCTGGTGACTGGAACCACATACCTTCAGGATTGCAAAGCAGCTTCTTTCCACTAGGCCATCAGTGCTCCCTAAAGAGCAATTATCAGTTTAAAGACTCAAGTGTGCCTAATACAGGCCATGCTCCTTTCAATTACTTGCTATGCATCTGAAAGTTCGATACTAACTAAAGGTGGCAGAAGAAGAATGAAAGCTTTGGCTTTGAATCTTGTTTTTACCTTAGTTCTATGGTCTTCCAGAGTTTGTATTGCTACGCAAAAATAAAAATATGTATGTGTACAGGTTGTTGTTGTTGTTGTCATGTGTCATTGAGTTGTTTGCGACCCATAGCGACTCTATGTACGAGGCCTAAACCCTGCTCTATCCTGTGCCAATCTTATTGTTTCAGACACACCTACTTCCATTACCCCAGTCACTGAATCAATCCATCTCATAGAGGGCCTTCCTCTCCTGCGCTGTCCCTCCATCCTCCCAAGCATGATGTCCTTCTCCAAGGGATGATCTCTCCTTGCAACATGCCCAAAGTATGTCAGATGAAGCCTCAGAATCCTTGCCTCCATGGAGCAGCCCGGCTTCAGCTTCTCCAGGACAAACCTCTTTGTTCTCCTAGCAGCCCATGGTATATTCAACACTCTTCTCCAGCACCACAGCTCAAAGGCATCAATTACCCTTCTATCATCCCTAGTCACTGTCCAGCTCTCTGATGCATAGCATGCAATTGTGAAGAGTATAGCGTAAATCAGGCGCACCTTAGTCTCCAGCCTGATGTCATTGCTCTTCAGCACTCTGGAGAGGTCCCTGATGGCTGACTTTCCCAATGTCTTTTGATTTCCTGGTTGCTGGTACCACGAGTGTTGACTGTGGAGCCAAGCAAACTAAAACTGTTAACCATGTCAATCTCTTCACCATCCATAATGATGCTGCCAATTGGTCCAGTGGTGAGAATCTTCGTTTTCTTGATGTTGAGCTTCAATCTGTATTGAAGGCTGCAGTGCAGTCCTTGACCTTCTGCAGCAGGCGCTTCAGGTTCTCCTCAGTTTTGTCAAGCAGGGTTGTGTAAAAACAGTCCTCTTAAATGTTGGATTATTGAAGTGAATTGAGAGTAGCTTTCTTTTTTTAAATTTTTATTTATTTAGTGTGTGTGTGTGTGTGTGTGTGTGTGTGTACCGTCAAATCAGATCTGACTGGTACAGGAAGCGATTGTTCCTCCTTCTTCAGCAGAGCATCTGGTGGATTTGAACCGCGCACCTCTGGGATTGCAGTGCAGTTTCCTGCCACTAGGCCACCAGAGCTCGCCGAGAGTAGCTTTCTTAATGTTAATATTCTCTTTTCGCAGAGAAGAAAAGAAAGGCTTGAAGAGTCTAATTTGGATTCGGTCACAGAACAGGTAAGTTTTACACTCAGAATTTCAATGAAACTACGTGGGACAGAGCTTCAAAATCTTATCCTCCAAGGAGAAACTTGGTATCACTCTCTCCAAGACAGACCTATTTGTTCTCTTGGTCAGTCTGTTGACTGGCAAAGGAGCCAGGTGGGGATGGGGCGTGACCTGGGGCTGGTGTGGGCGGGGCCCGGGGGCGGGCCGGCCGGTCTGGGGGCGTGGCCTCCGCCCCGCGGCTCTGCATGGCGCCTGGCATTGGCGCATTGCCTCCCCTGGGCGCCACCTCGCCCTCGCCCGAGTCTCCGCCTCCCGCCTCCCTCCTGCCTCCTCTGGCTCCTTCCTGTCTGCCTGATCTCGGGCTCTGTCCGCACGCTGCTGCTCCGTGATGGCGACCCGCAGCCCCGGTATCGTGGTGAGTGCTGGGGCCCGCCAGTCCGACCTTGGCCCATGAGGGGCCGCACCCGGCGCCGGTGGCGACCAGGCCCTGGAGCTCGGCGTCCGCAGTGCGACTCGGGCGGGGGGGGGTGGCCCGGGGAACCCCGGGATCGGCCTTCACGTCACACAGCGGCGCAAAGGGGGGGCACGGAATGGCGGGTCTTGGGGTGCGTTGCTCAGACTAAGAACCCTGGGAGCGAGGGCTGCGTGGGCGAGGAGATGGTGGAAATGGCGTTGGGGTTGCCATGTGCCACTTCCCAGCGTGCAGAGGCGGGGAGGACCCCTGGGCCAATGTGGGAATGAGCTGGCGGGCTGAGGCGTGGGGGCTGGAGGTTTGGGGTGGGGTGGTGGTGGAGTCGTCGGGGCGCCCCTGTAGTCGGCTCAGGAGAGGGAGGAGGACACTGAGCCCCCCCACTTGGCTCCTGGGCGTTTGTGGACCGAGCACTGGCACCGGAGTGCTCATGGCAGCCCTGGTAGCCGTCACCATGTCTACCTACTTTCCCCACGCAGGAAGCGCAGGCAAGATAATTAGGTAATTGGCCTGGGTCCCTGAGGGGACTGGACGTGGAATTCACATACGCTTGAAATCGTGATCCCTTCCAATGGGGGATTAAAGGATGCGTCTCAGGACATCACCTTCAAGGACATTCATACGATAATCAGTCCCTGGTATCTTGCCTCCAGCGTCATTCCGGTTTTTGCCCCTTAGAACAAGGCAAGCCTCTCACCCCCACACCTTCTCTGATGGTGCTCGTTGACCGCCAGCACCTCCCCCTTTTATTATTATTATTATTATTATTATTATTAATTATTAATTATTAATTATTATTTCACCTGTTGGTTTTCTCTCTCACTAAAACATGGATTTCTTTAAAATGCCAATCGTAACGCCAGCACCGAGCACAGGGCTTGGCCCTGTAAGAAGTTCTCTCCTTCACGATGTATGATTGGAACAAATGATTAAGAAAGAAAGATTTCTCTTTCCAATCAGGCGCTCAGTTTATGGGAAAGCGCACTATTCCGTTCTTAGTGGTTTCTCGTCAAGGATCATTTCTTCCTTTGAGCTTTTCACTAGCTGTGTGGGCTTGGGGCAATTTCCTTAACCTCTCTGGTCATGCTTGAGCACGTCGGATGGTGAGCATGGCGCAGGATTTGGATCTGTTGTTCACAGGATTGCTATGAGTGAGTGGTAGTTGACTTGATGGCAACTAACAATAGCAACAAGAAGTCTGGTCCTAAGTTTTTCCAAAGGAAAAATGCAGTGTCTCAGTGAAGTCCCTGATGGTGCACACTGTTCATGGGTGGGGCTGCTAACCAAAGCCTAGAGCCCTGGCAGGGCGATTTGGGAAACAAATGCCTGAGTAATCGGCCAAAAACATCAGTCACCAAAACCCCAGCAGGGTGGGTGCTACCTGATGTGGCAGTTTGCTTCTGTAAATATTATGGCGTCAGAAGTCCCATGGAGCATTTCTATGGGGTCGCCATGAGTCAAAATGAACTCCATTTAAGGCGTTTTTTTATTTCATTAAAAGCTGTCTCATGGTGCTATTAAAATGGCAAGCCATGGTCCCCATGGGGACTAGTCGTAGCCACCACTGCATTAAGACCTTTACTTGAAACTAACTGCAACACTGGGAAGATGGATTCCCATTTTACAGATGGGGGCACTCATTGGCACCGTGGAGAGTTAACAGAGGAGACGCTGGTAGATGGTTGTAGGCACTGGGGGGGAGGGGAGAAAGAAATGGTGGTAGCTGTTTATATTCAGTCGCTAAAGAAGTGAAACATCAAGTTGAGTCGCGTTTAGACACTTGTAAAACTTCAGTGTGCTCAGTGGTCTAGCCAAGTGCTAAAACTGGCTGCTGCTGCTTACTTTTGAACACGAAAATTTTCTTAAGTCGTGTTCCCTTTTTTCATTTCCTTCCCAAAATGGTCTGCGTGTTGGCGTCACTGTCTCAGCATGGTGTTAGCCCTTTGCATACATGGACTGACTTGATAGGCATCAACAGGATTTAGTGGCTCAGAGAGGTTCAGGAATTTGCCTAATCCAGCTGTGCTAGGATTTCAGCCCAAATTATCTGGCCCCCAGAGCTTCTGCATTTGAAAACTAGTCACTCACTCATCCACTCATAGCCACTGAGTTGGAAATGATTCGTATAGCTGACTGACCCTCCAGTCGTTTTTATGAAGAGCCTGTAAAGCTCATGGGAGGAGATTGCTCATCTTTCTCCCAAGGAGCAGTGGGTCGATTTGAACCACCAGCCTTTAGCTTCACAGCGCAACTCCATACCCACTGGGCCACCAGAGCTCCCTTAGTAGTGAAAATGATAGTAATAATGTGAATAAAGATAAGAAAACCAAACACTGCTGTGAAGCAAATTCCTACTCATAATGACCCTGTGTGACAATAGAATTGCCCCATAAAATGGCCCCGGGTGAGAATACAATTGCCCCATAAAAATTCTCAAGTCTTTAATCTTTGCAGAAGCACACTGCCACACATTTCTTGTGTTCCTGCATTAGTGTCAATAGTAAATATACGTGTGGTGCTGCGAACTAAAAGAGCAGCAGTTCAAATCCACCAGCTGCTGCAGAGAAGGATGGACACTCTTCTCTTGTAAAGATTTACAACTTGGGAAACTGACAGCCAGTTGCTATGAGTCGGAACCTTCCCCAAAGTAGTGGGTTGGGCTTTTTGGTGGGTAGCTCTTTTGCAGATACTTTCTAAGCTAAGTTTCTTGGAAAAGTAGGGAGAAACAGAAGACCCTCAAGGAGATAATTTGACAGAGAGCCTCTAAATAAAAAATGGGCTTGAACACAGCAGAGATGATGTGGATGGCACAGGATAAGGCAAGATTTCCATCTGTTTGTTCATAGGGTCACTGTGAGTCATTGGTGACTCCATGGCACCTAGCAATGTTACGGTAAATGCTCTTAAGCTATATAATGTAATTCTGGTGGCCTGGTGGGGAAAGAGTTGCTCTGCCAACCCTAAGGTTGGTGGTTCAAATCCACACTGCTTTGACAGAAAAGGATAGGCAGTCTCCTGTATGATTTGAAGCCTCTGAAAACTTGCTGGAGGGTCAGTTATAACTCAATGGCAGTGAATGAGTGGGTCATGAGAAGAAGTGTTCTAGGCCACATCTCATGAAAGCGCCGTCTATATTGGATCACGGCTGTGAAGGGATAAAGGGGTGTTGCATCCTACCCTTAATCCACAACTGTTTGGTTTATCAGATCTTGGAGTGTCATTACACAATTTCCACCTTATGTCATTCCTCACTTAATATCACTTACTCATTGCTTTTGAGTTGGAAACGAATCATGGTTTCCAGAGACTAAATCAATCACACGGGAGAAAATTGTCCATCTTTCTCCTGAGAAGCTGCTGGGAGCTGTGACCTACCAGAGTGGGGGGTGTTAGGGTTAAAAGAGCAACTTCCTACCACCAGAGCTTCCTACATTATATCATCACATGCATGTATTTTGGAGGGATATGATTCATTCTATGATATTATGGTCATTTATAAGTGCGCGTGTTTTGTCTGGCCGAAAGTAAATTATTCCACAGTACATACTGATGGAAGGAAAGAGAATGCTGCTGCTGTTTGGTGCCATCGAGTGGAGTATGGCTTCATAGTGAACAATAGAGGTGAACCCTTTCCTGTCCTGTGCCACCCTCACACTTCCTGACACACAGGAGCCCCATTGCTGCAGCCTCTGTGTCAGTCTACCTGATTGGGGGGTCTTCTTTTCCTTTCTCTGATCTTCCACCTTTACCAGCATGCCTTTTTCCCCCCAGAACTGGCCCCTTCTGATAACATGTCCAAAGTATCCTCGCCTCAAAGGGGCACCCTGATTGCACTAACTCCAAGACCGACTATTTTGTTCACTGGCAGTTCATGGGATATTCAGTTCTCTAACCAACACCACAATCCAAAAGGCATCAATTTTTTTCCAGCATCCTTATCATTATCCAACTTTCAGATGCATAGGAAGCAATTGATAATGCCGTGGCTTGGATCAGGCCCACCTTAGTCTTTAAACTGACGTTGTTGCTCTTTAGTACTTTAGAGACATCCTTGACAGCAGAGTTCTCCCAGGTATATTTTGATTTCTTGACTTTTGTACTGTGGGTGCTGATTGTGGACCTAACTAAAATGAATTGTTGACAGTTTCAGCCTTTTCTTCGTCTCTCATGATGCTGCTGCCTATTGTTTCAGTGGTGAGGATTTTTGTTTTATGTTGAGATGAAATCCATATAGAGCTCCTGGAAACAGCATAGTGTTGTGTAAATTTGTGTCCTTGCATGCATAGTAGTTTATGGATCCATTTACTTGGAGCTGCTAATAATATCCCAGGATTGAGTAGTAAGGATTGCTGATTATAATTTGTCTTAGTGCTCTTTAAGCCTGAAAAGGGAGGACAAGCAAGTCATGCATGGAATTTATTTTTGTAAGACTAGTGGTTCGAACCTCCTAGCTGCTCTGGAGGAGAAATGTGGGCAATCTTGTTGGGTTCTATTTACTACTTCTGAAAACCTACTGGAGGGTCAGCTGTGAGTTGATTCAGACTCATCTCTATATAACAGCAAGACAGTGCATACTTGGCTTTTTAAAAAATTAGGTCCTCCTGATACAGGCCATGGTCTTCACAATCACTTGTTATGCATCAGAGAGTTGGACAATAACTAGGGAGGACAGAAGGAGAATTGATGCCTTTGAGCTGTGGTGCTGGAGAAGAGTATTGAATGTACCATGGACTGCCAAGAAACAAACAGATTCATCCTAGAGAGGGTTAAACCAGGCTACTCCTTGGAGGCAAGGATTCTGGGGCTTCGTCTGACATACTTTGGACATGTTGTAAGGAGAGACAGGTCCTTGGAGAGGGACATCATGCTGGGTAGGGTAGAGGGACAGCGCAGGAGGGGAAGACCCTCTATGAGGTGGATTGATTCAGTGACAGGGGTAATCGGGATGGGTGTGTCAGAAGCAGTGCGATTGGCACAGGATAGAGCAGGGTTTAGGGCTGTTGTACATAGGGTCGCTATGAGTTGCAAATGACTCGACGGCACTTAACAACAACAGTTAGAAGTGCTGTGTAAACCATAAAAGTTTTCATGTATAAAAGTTGTTAAAGATGTGACACATCCTTGAACTTAGAATGCCAGTTTTATTAGAAAGTAAAATCATTACATTATTTTATGATACCAAAGCTGTTGACTTATGATTCTTGACAAAAGGTAGGTTCTTATTGTATATTTCACAATAAGTTTTTATCGTTGGCCAGCTTGTCATAAGGTAGATCTTAAACTATTACTAACCTTTGATTTCTAACCAAGGCAAATGTGCCCTTTGATTTCCAGCTTATTGAAACATGGCCACCCAGAAAAATATGGGCCTAGAGCAGGGCACATTCTCATTTGTTTATCATTTTCAGTGCCTCAGGAGTTTGCTAATATTTGGAGGTTGTCTCCCTGCCCCCAACAAAAAAGAAAAAGGCCATCCTTTGTGGTCTGTTTCATGTTGGATGCTTTCAGAAGATGTTGGCACCAACAGTCAACGCTAAGTAACCAATGATAAAAGGGAGATGTGTGTTCATACAGAGAGCTGGGCACTGCTAGTTTGTTAGATCAAGAATGTTCTGTTCCTTCCTGATAACAGGCCCAAGCTATGTGAGATAAAGCCTCATCGTCCCTTCTGCTAAGGAACATTGTAGCTGCACTTCTTCAGGACAGATTGTCCTTTGGACAGTCCATGGAAAGCTTTTCTGCTTTCCTACTATGTTGTATAGAATCATTTCTACCAGGGTGGTAAATTTATCATTTTATAAGACCCTCTAGGCCGATCAATGAATTTCAGTGTAACTAATACACCACAATTATCAAGTTTCTCTAACCCTTCTCATCAAAGCAGTAACCAGATTGTTGATGAATCCATCTTCCTCTTTCTCACTGCCATCGAGTCAGATCTTACTTAGCTGACTCTCCATTGGGTTTCCAAGGTTGTAAACTGCACGGGAGAAGCCAGAGAGACACAGCTTTTGGGTTAGTGTCTCAACTCCTATAGACTAAGCCACCATAATCCATATAAAATAGGGTTAGTAAACATCAGATAATAAACTTAGAAGAAGCAAAGTGAGAGGGAATATGATTTAAGGCCAGTATGCATGTTTCTGTCTAGAACCTACAAAAACTGCAATTATTGGACTTGTAACTATGTCACTTTGGTTTGGGGGATGATTAAAACGCAAGTACGCAAGTAAAAAAAAAAAACAAAAACGCAAGTACCTGCTTATGGAATTAGATCTACTTATGTTATTTCCTATCACTAGTCCAAATACAAGTGTAGGGTCTAAGTCCGTGTTTGAGTGTTCTTTCTCTGTGTTTTTTACAGCAATTTAGCACATTGTCTTGTAGTTATGCGTATGTACCTCATGCAGTTAACTAGACTGTACGCTCTTTAAAGCTAATTCTGTCAAATGGAGCTAATCCCCTCTAGTACGTATATATATACAGCATAGTATGTGCTCAATAAATATTGTAAGTATTACTAATAAGATTACAGTTCTGAATAATATCCTCACCATTTTAAAATTAATATTTGATCATTAAATTAAGAGGATTTGGACTTTTCACTAATGCAAAATTGGACATAGTTGATCTTGGTGCCTTGCTGTGATTGAAATGAACTGACCCTGATTTAACTTTAGGGAGCTCTGCTGGCCTAGAGGGTAGGGAGAGCTACCAACCCCAGGGAAGATGATTCGAATCTACCGGCTGATCCGTGGGGGAAAGCCGGGCAGTCTCCTCTCGGGATTTACAGCCTCCGAAAACCCATTGGAGGGTCAGCAATGAGTCAATTTCAACTCAATGGTAGTGAGTTTGTGTATTTTAAACTTAACTTTTATGTCATGCTGCATTTCAAACATCTAAAGGTAGACCTGATAATAATAAGGTCATGAACCTTCATGTACCTGTTGCCCTGTTCTGACAGGTGTATATATTTCTTAAATCAAGGCCCCTCTATAGGATAACACAATTGTGAGTTCATGGCAGAAGTACTTAAAATGCAAGTAGTGTGAATTTTTTGGTTTCATCTTTTGGAAAGAGCAGCATTGGTATGTTTGTTGTTTGGGTTTTGGTGTTTTGTTTTGTTTTTTTTTTTAAATGCTTGTACAGCCAACCCTTGGGTTAAATGTAATACAGAAATCTAATTGTTTTCACTTTCGAAATGACAGTATATTCGGTGTGTTGACAGAGATGGGAGTGCAGTTTGAGGCTCCATCCCTGCTGGTTTGTCTGCCATGTCTGGAATGGACTGTGGCCAGAATTGACATTGGCTTTGACTGCGACAAACAAGCTCTAGGCATGTTTAGGCAGCCCACAAAGCCTGTAGCCAGATATTGCTCTATTTTTGCAGAAGCAGTAGCCTCTTGTTAGTGGTCTGCAGTGCAGAGTCCTGGGTGGGTCCTCGCACGAGGAGCAGTGAGTCACGAGAAGCAGTGAGTCATGGTGATGAGGAAGAGAGGAAGTGGCAGGGAAACCATTTTTGGCGCTCTAACTCTTCCTGATTTTAAAGTACTAGGACGTGGTTGGTTTTTACCTTTGTATTGTGAATTGGGTGAAAGTTTACAGAGCAGCTAAGTTTTCTGTTCAACAATTTGTATGTGTTGGGGGAAACGCTTACATTTGTTTTCCGTCCAACCATTTATATACATCTTATTTCACGACACTGTGCAGTCCCCACAAAAATGGCGCTCATCCCACTTACTCCCTGTCTTTCCCATTGCCATTCTTCCTTCTTTCCTAACCCTTCCTGTTTTCTCAGCTTGGCCCTTGGGCGGATGCAGCTCTTTCTGTCTAATGGTTTGGCCAAGGCATGCTGCACTTTTCTAATGTGGTTGTTCATCTTACATACCTGTCCGTTGTTTGGCTGAAAATGAGTCTCGGGTGGAGGTGTTCTATTTTTTGTTGTTGTTGTTGTTTTTTGGGGTTTTTTTGGTTTTTTTTTTTTTTACAGAGGTTTTGGATTTCCATTCATTCATTGCCACAATTTTCTCCCTGCCCACCCCTCCCCACCAGCTCGCTTCCCCCTCCGAAGAGAGGAAAAAAAAAAAAGAAAAAAATCTTCATTAGTATACAACTCCCACGTCCCTTCCCCCCACCCCCCACCCCGAGTACACTTCTCTATGCAACCTTAATTCTGGATTCCTGTGCTAACCATAATACTCAATCATATATCACTTCTAATCTGTTCTTTCCCTCATCTATTTCAATACAATAGGTGTTCTATTTTGTAGAGTAAAAACCAACTCCTAGCTGGCCCACCAGCAGGTTTTCACAGGTTGTATGTCACGTGGAAGGAGATTGCCTGCCTTTCTCCCTGGGAACAGTTGGTGAATCATCAAAGCAACTCCTTATTCACTAGGCCACCAGACCCCCACCCCCACCCCCACTAGTCTGAGATGTTAGCAGTTCATAATCTAATGGCCTTGATAGGGATGTTTATTATGCCACCTTAGAGGATCTGGCAAGGTCTTATTTTCTTTTTCCAACACTTGAACTAGATTTCAGTTTCTACATTTATTGACTTTAGAGAAAGAGCTCTGGTGGCCTAGTGGCCACAAGCTGTGCTGCAATCCTGAAGGCATGCAGTTCGAGGCCACTAGCTGCTCCACAGGAGAAGGACGGGCAGTCTCCTCCCATGCGATTAACTGCCTCTGAAAACCCACTGGAGGGGTTCCTACTCAGTGGTACACAGTAACAACAACAGCATTGACTTCATAAAAGCACTGTTGTAAAACATTCTTGAAGTTTCTCATTCTTTTTTCCTTTTTTAAATTGTTACTTGGGGGAAAGTTCTCATTCCATCATCCATAGACATTTTGTCTTATAACAGTCATAACAATTCCCACAATGTAATTGCACTTTCCCCACTTCCTTCTTATAATTCTCATTTCCCTCATTCCTTCTGTTCTATCTCTTCTTGCCTTCAGGATTGTTCTGTTCTCGTTATAGTAAATGTATTCTCTATAAACATGATCATTTTAGAGGATTTTGCATAATCATTTTTCCTTTTAAACCGAATTTTTCTTTTCTGCTTAGGTCAGTAATACTTCTTTAGATGCTTTCTTCTTCATCCAGTATTTTGTCTATAGAATCCTTCAGTTTTGCAATGTTTATTTTCTGTTATTTCAGCTTGAGAAATGCCTAGTGTGTTCTTACCTTTTTGTTTTCTAACTCCAGGACTTGCCATGTATCATCAGTTTTTTCTCCAGTGTCTGTTGAAATTTGTTCAGCTTACTTCACCATTTCTTCCCTTTGCCTTGGCGTCTCTACATTGAAGAGCACATTTTAGAGTCATTTTGGCTTTGGATACCTCTTTCTTCTTCATGATGCCCTTGATGTCATCTCACAACTTGTCTTCAGTTAATTTATCAAATCAATTTGTGAGATGATGATTTTAAAATTCAGGTGGAATAAACTCAAGGTCATATTTTGGTTGTGGACTTGGTTTCATTTTCTTCAAATTCAATTTGAGCTTACACATGAGTAATTGATGGTTTGTTCCACAGTCAAGCACTGGCCTTGTTTTGACTGATACATTTGTCAAAATGGCAGTCACTATTGTTCAACCACCATTCCTTCTTGTTTGTTTCCAATTTTTGCATTTCAGTCATTATTTAATGCAGCACTTATGGGGAGGAATGTGGCATCAGGATTGGTGGAAGAGTCATCAACAACCTGCATTATGCAGATGACACAACCCTGGCTGCTGAAACTGAGGAGGACCTGAAGCGCTAGCTGCAGAGGGTCAAGGACTGCAGCCTTCAATATAGATTGAAGCTCAATGTCAAGAAAACAAAGATCCTCACCACTGGGCCAATTGGTAACATCATGTCCCTCTCCAAGGGATAGCCCCACCTAGCAACATGCATGAGGGATGTGAAGTGAAGCGTCATCATCTTTGCCTCTAAAGAGCACTCTGGCTGCACCCTCTCCAAGACCTATTTGTTCTTTTGGCCATTCATGGGATGTTCAATGCTCTTCTCCAACACTACAGCTCAAAGGCATCAATCTTTATTCTGTCATCCCTATTCGCTCTCCACCTCTCAGATACATAGCGAGTGATTGGAAAGACCATGGCCTGAATCAGATGCACCTTAGTCCTCAAACTGACATCATTACTCCTCCATAATTTGGAGAGGTCCCTAACAGCAGACTTGTCCAGGGGAATGTGTCTCCTTATTTCGTGACTGCTGGAACTAAAGGGTGTTAATTGTGGATCCAAGTAAGATGAAGTTGTTGACAGTTTCAGTCCCTTCTCCATCCATCATGATGTTGCCTGTTGGTCCAGTGGTAAGAATCTTTGTTTTCTTGACATTGAGATACAATCCATATTGAAGGCTGCATTCCTTGTTCTGCAGCAAGTGCTTCAAGTCCTCTTCCTTTTCAACAAGGAAGATTGTGTCTTCTGCATAATGCAGGTATTGATGAGTCTCCCTGAGATCCTGATGCCACATTCCTCTTCAGAGAATCCAGCTTCTCATATAATTTGCTCAGCATACAGACTGAGTAGGTATGGAGATAGAATACAACCCAGACACACTCCATTCTCAATTTTAAGCCATGCAGTGTTCTCCTGCTCTGTTTGCACAACAGCCTCCTGATCTAGGGATAGGTTTTTCATGAGCACAATTAAGTATGATGGGACTCTCATTCCCCTCAGTGTCAGCCACAGTTTAAGATCCTCACAGTCAAATGTCTTTGCATAGTCAATAAAGCATAAATAAACATTCTTCTAGCATTCTTTACTTTCAATGATATCCCTGGTACCAGGGCCTCTTCTAAATCCTGCTTTACCTTCTGTAGTTCCCTACCTACTTATTGCTCTAGCCTCTTTTGAATGATCTTCAGTAGTATTTTGCTTGCATGTGATACTAATGATATTGTTTGATAGTTTCCACATTCTGTTGGCTCACCCTTCTTGGGAATGGGAACAAATATACACCTCTTTCCATCCCTTCGCAGGACAGCAGTCCTCCAAATTTTCTGGCACACACTGTTGAGCGCATCCAAGGCTGCCTCTGTTAATTGAAACAAGTCAATTGGTATCCTATCGATTCCTGGGGCCTTATTTTCCCCATTGCTTTCAATGCAGCTTCTACTTCCTCCTTCATTACCATTGGCTTCTGCTCATATGGTACTTCCTGAAATTTTTCATTGTCAATCAGTTCTTTTTGGTACAGTGATTTTGTGTATTTCCTCCATCTCCTTTAGATGCTTTCAGGGACATTCAATATATTGCCCATAACATCTTTCAATATTGCAGCTTAGTGTTTAAAATTTTTTTTTTCAGTTCTCTCAGCTTGAGAAATGCAGAGCGAGTTTTCCCCTTTTTATTCTTTAGTTCCAGCTCTCTGCAGATTCAATTAGTGACAATAACATGTACTTCTAGATGTAAGGAGTTCTGGTGGCCTAGTAGGTAAAGAGTTACACTGCCAGCCTAAAGACAGGTAGTTCACAACTACCAGTGGCTCAGAGAGAGAAAGAGTGCATTCTCCTCCTGGGTGAATTACAGCCTCTGAAAACCCACGGGAGGATCAGACAGCTGTGAGTCAGTTCCATCTTGATGGCACACAAAGGCTAGAGAGTTGTGCTCACCCAAAAGGCAATGCCTCTCCAGGAATTTAAATCAACCACTGGCACCTTGTGCGATTTGCAGTCACCATAAACCTGCTGGAGGCTCAGCCACGAGCTGGTTCCACTGTCAAGGCAATGAGTTTTGAGACCCAGTTGCTGTGAAGGCACCTTGTGGCTATCTTGAAGTTGGAGCAATTTGGCTTTGGGTTTTTTTCTTTATCAGCAGCCCCCCCCCCCAGTTTGCTCCTCTCTTTCAAAAGTAAAAGAGACACTCCCCTCCTGGGACACAATCCCCCCCCACCCCTCCCGCCGCCCCAAGTACATTCCCCTATGCAACCGTAATTGTGGACTCTTGTGATAACCATAATACGCTATCATACATCGCTTTTAAATTATTCACTCCCTCATCTGTTTCAGTGCAGTATACACAATTTATCCAGTTTTTCTCAGTCTTACCCCAACTTAAAGTCTTCATTTAGGTTTCATCGGGTTGTGCCCCACCCTCCCCCTCCATCCACCATTTGTGAAACGAGAGAATCCAGTTGGAATGAGGAATAGCAGGGTTTTTTTTGAAAGCCGAGTCTCATATTTTAACTTGTGTAGACTATAGTGTCATGAAAAAAAATGTAATTGAAATTTTAAACATACTCAGAAGCAAAGAGAATAGTAGCAGGAACATTCTCATATCCCACCCACATTTGAAACACTAAGAGTTTGCCCTATTTGTCTTAATTCTTGAAAACTTATCTCTTTTTTTTTTGATTGAAGGAAATGAAAACATAGGGTCATGTTGGCTTTCAACTATAATTTGTTACCGTATCGACAGAGTTAATAAAAGGGTGTTGCTGTCAACTGTACCTAGTTTTTATTTAAATAGCTCTCTTACTTTTTTTTTTTTTTTTTTCAGATTGGCGATGATGAGGCGGGCTATGACCTGGGTCTGTTTTGTATACCTAATCATTATGTGGCGGATTTGGAAAGTGTGTTTATTCCTCATGGACTAATTATGGACAGGTGAGTCCAAACTTAAGCCGGAGCGCTTTCTGTTCTATTCTGGGAGCTCTGATGGTGTTGGCAAATGTTTTCAGTAGTTGATTCATCTTTGAACATAAACTAAGTTCACTTGTAAAGTATTTGTTGTTTGCTTTCTTTTTTTTTTGTCCTCCTAACAAGCAAAACATATTTACTGAATACTCATGAGAGGCATAGTCTCATAGACTCATGGGAGTCTCGGGAGTACAGTAAAGTAAATATTGAAGGGTGATAAGAAGAGCAAACTTTAGTTACAGAATATCTCATTTCCTTGAACTGAGCTGAGGCTGAATCATGTGGAGGCATGATGGTATTTTGGATTATTATGCAAGTCTAGTGTGAAATTTTCCCTTTCAGTGGGTTAACAGTGAAAAAAATTAGTATTTAAATACCTTGTCTGGTGAGTGTTGTTATTTTGGTTTTGATTTTAAAATTGTGTAGATGCATGTGTGTTGTGAAACATAGTGGAAGCAACCACAGTGAGATACCATCTCACTCCAACAGCAGTGGCAAAGTTTAACAGAGATAGGAGCTCTTTTACGTTGTTGGTGGGATTGTACAATGGTACAACCACTCAGGAAGGTAGTATGGTGCTTCCTCAAAGAGCTCAACATAGAAACTCCACATGACCCAGCTCTTCCACTACTTGGAATATACCCTGAGAAGATGAGAACTGAGGCACAAACTTGAGATTTTTCACCAGTGTTCATAGCAGCGTTATTCACCATCGCGAGAACATGGAAACAGTCAAAATGTCCAACCACAAACAAATAGATTGAGAAATTATGGTACATCCACACAATGGGACACTCTGCAGCATGCAGGAACAATGATTTTGTAAATTATTACCTAATTTGGGAGAGACTGGAGAACATTATGCTGAGTGAATTAATTCAGTCTCACAAGGACAAATACTGTATAAAAGCATTATTGTAGAATGAGTATGAGGATCCAAGGCGGGGGTGGGGTAGAGGGGGTGGAAATAGAGGGATGAGGATGGGGGTTAGGGTGTTAATCATAGAGTTGCACAATTTGACGGGTAGGTGGGGTGAAGGAAATGGGAAGGATCTTTTGTGAAAAACAAATAAATATTTATAAGTAAATAAATCAAAGTTAAAAATAAAAAACAAAAAACCCAATGTACATGCATGAAACACGATGTTTATTAATTCATGTTTGCAAACCAGTGAAAATATGTTGTTGTTGTTTTATTGTTGATTGCCTTTGAGTCGAGCACAACGCATAACGACCCTATGAACAAAAGACCTGAAGCCCCTCTACAACTATTGACATTTATCAAAGTTCATTGAGTTTGCAGAGGCATGGTGTTTAGGAAGTAGATGCCACTCCTGCTTCCAAAAAATATGTTAAAAAAAACAAAACCCAAACCACCCACAAAACTAAAACCAGTGGAAGCTAAAATAAAGCCAACTCTCGGCATCCTTACGTATTTCCTCCTTAACCTATGTCGTTGTTGTTGTTGTGTACCACCATCAAGTCAGAACTGACCCACAGCTGACCCTTTGGCAGCTTTTCAGAAGCAGTAAATTGCACAGCAGTACATTGCCAATTCTTCTCCTGCTCCTTAATCTATATGTCACCCTTATTCAAAAGAATGACAGAAGAATTGATGTCTTTGAGCTGTGGTTTGGAGAAGAGTACTGAATATCCCATAGAACGCCAAAAGAACAGACAGATGTCTTGGCGAAAGTGCAGATATTGTCTTGGAGGCAAAGATGACAAACTTTCATCTACCTTGGATATGTTGCTGTTGTTGTATCCTGTTGAGTGATTCATAGCAACCCTACCTACAGCAGCTCTGAAGCATGCTCTGTCCTGACCCAGTCTCACTGACTCCGACACACCTGCCCTGCCCCCATTGCCCCAGTTACTGTGTCAGTCCATTTTATGTTGTTGGGAGGGTCTATTCCTTGCAGAGGGACATCAGGGCTGGAAAGGTGGGTCGGCAAAAGAAGGGGAAGACCCTCGACCAGATGGATTGACACAGTGACTGCAGCAATGGGCTTAAGTGTGTCAGATAATGAGGATGGCACAGGATAGGACAGGGTTCAGATCTGTTGCTCATAGAGTCTGAGTTATACTCAACTCAGTGGCACCTAACAACAACCTTTGTGTACAAACAAGACAGTTATGTACACTTAAATAGACAGTTCCTTGCTCATGAACCATTGTCAATGGTTAAGGTCCATTCTGAACCATATCTTTTAGGATTTGTAGGTCAGGGAATAGGTGCATGTAGTTAATTCGCCTTCTTTGAGTGAAAGGAAAGGGCACTCTGGTGGCGTCGTCCATCGAATTGTGTTGCTAAACCAGAGGCTTTGCACCCCCTGTGGTTCCGTTCCACCAGAGCCTCTGTGGACGCTCTCCTGTAAACATTTCCAGCCTTGGAAGCCCAGTGGAAGGTCCCCCGTGAGTTAGAACCCACCTGCTGGAAGCAGGTGTAGTGCAAAGAAAGGAGCTCTGGTGGAGTGGTGACTGCTAACCAAAGATCAGTGGTTCAAATCCACCAGCTGCTGCATGGGCCAAAGATAGGCCAGCCTCCTGCCATAACAAATTAAAGCCCCTGAGTTGCTATGAAT